AAGTTAACATATTCCTCACAGGACTCCAGTTTCATCCTGCAGTCCAGTATCATGCAATTATCTGAAGTGGTATTTCTAAATTGGCCGTAATATGCGTGTGGCAGTCTGGGGAAGGACTGCCATCCCATAAAGCAGGTTTTGTGCTTCCTGGAAACGGGTCCAGGCTCTCAAAGGCCCCGCAGAGGGTGAGTGGTTATGGAAAATGGACGGATGTTCTCACTATTACACTCCCCGGCCTGTGCGGGGTGGGAGACGGTGAGACACTGAATCTGAGAAGCAGAGAGAATGTTCTCACTTGGTCTCAGCTAATTCTCTGTCCCCTGCTTGTGTATAACCGAAGCTTTTAATTGTTCTCAAATTATGTACGGCTTCGGATGGCGGGGGGTGGGGGGTGTTGAATCTCATCATCCTAAATGTACCGTGGACCACTTTTCATCTGCAGTGCAAAAGCATTTCCCAGAGGCTCATGGGTAATAGCTGATGCTATCCGTTTGTCTAGACTGCTTCTAAAAAATGTCTTTAAATCTAAATACCATATTGCTGGGATTGTGTGACAGAATAGTACAATAGGACTCTTTATTCTCACTTTCAATGCAACGTTTTTTTCTGGCAGATGTTTCGTTTATATGGCAATTTAATTTATACAGGAAAAAATACTCTCCGCACCTTAGAACTCTGTTAGATAATACCATTTCAGAAGGTTCGTGTTCCTCTAAAACTGTCCTGAGATAGATAAAAAAATGTTTTTTTTAACATCAATCAACCAATGTGGAAATAGAAATACCTAAATATAAAATCTCTTTAATCTTTTTTTATTATTTAATGTTAAGGCAGAAGTAAAACCAGGATTCCAGGCATTTTGAACACATTAGCATGTGACAGCAGGCCTGGTACTTAACAGGGACACAGAAATGTTTGACTTGCTTTGAAGAGTCATTTTCAAATGAGCTGCTGGCTTTATGTTTGAGGCGAGTTGCTGTCCTCAACCTCTCCCCTCTGACCGCCTCCCTTTCTCTGGGTTATTCTCTCCGTGGCAAAAGGCGCTCCTTGTGTAGAGTTGAACGTCAAGTTATCCAGTGAGTTACATTTGTTACACGCCGGCCTCGCGCCTCTATAGCAGTGTGGGTCGCCATGCACGCCGGCCTCGCGCCTCTATAGCGGTGTGGGTCGCCATGCTCGCCGGCCTCGCGCCTCTATAGCGGTGTGGGTCGCCATGCTTGCCGGCCTCGCGCCTCTATAGCGGTGTGGGTCGCCATGCTCGCCGGCCTCGCGCCTCTATAGCGGTGTGGGTCCCCATGCTCGCCGGCCTCGCGCCTCTATAGCGGTGTGGGTCCCCATGCTCGCCGGCCTCGCGCCTCCAGAGCGGTGTGGGTCGCCATGCACGCCGGCCTCGTGCCTCTATAGCGGTGTGGGTCCCCATGCTCGCCGGCCTCGCGCCTCCAGGTGGTACATTTCCATGTGAGGAGATTGTGTGCCTTACTGCCTTCCCCACATGTCCTCCCACTGATAAGGCTTCCTCATACTGCGTAAAACATGCAGTGAGGTCAAGTGGTGACTCGGAATCGCTCATGGCGTGCAAATCTGGCCGGCGATGGACTGGCATCCCGTCCAGGGTGTCCCCTGCCTCGTGCCCTTCGCTTTCTGGGACGTGCTCCAGGCGCACAGTGACCCTGAGCTGGATAAGCGGAGAGACGGATGTGTGTATGGGAAGCAGTCGGAAAAGGCAAAGCTGCATAATCAGAATCTTTTTAATGCATATCCAGCAGGGTTATTATGTAAAGTCAAACGATGTTAAGCTAAATCCATTTTCCTCAGGACAGAAAGGATCTGTTTGGCAAATATTGTGAATATGAAATCAAACAGAAGAAATTGTATGGAATTCAAAAAGAACTGAACGTATGTGTGCATGTGTCTCTGTGCACAAGTCTGTCATTCTTATTTAAGATTCATAAATAGTTAAAATGCTTGTAACTTGAAACTTCTTTTAAGTTTCCATTTGGAAGTCATTAAAAACTTTGTGACTGACAAGAGACCATTAGGGACGTACAGTATTTGAGTGCATCTCTGCCGTAATGATGATAATGATCAAAGACGGCTTGAATAACTGCAGATGGTTATTTTTAAAATTGGTCCTAATCTTCATTTGTTCGTTTTTCTTGACGGGAAATGCTCAGTTTGAATCAATGCTGCTGATGACCGCCCCCTGGAGTGCATCGCGCGCTGACAGGCTGATGTGCCTCTCCGGAATGATTTTAAGTGTGTGTCTATTTATAGCAGCCATCCGACAGAGTCATCTGCTCGCCGTAAGCAGAAGTCACCTGACCTGACGTGGATCGCGATGGCAGCCGGGCAGAGGGCAGCGGCTGCTGTGGGAGGGCGGATTTCAGTGCCGTTATTGGCCATTTTCGAGGCTTGTCAGGCGATGGGGATCATAGGGACAGTGTGATGCTTGGCAGGCTGTCGTCCTGCTCTGTTGTCACATGGCATGTCGACCTGAGGCACCATGGAAACGTAAGCTCCTCGTCCCCTACTGTGGCATTTCTGCTGGATCCTTCCAATCCCCTCTAACTGAGACCGAACACGGAGCTGGACACAAACCACTCTGACGTGGACGTCCTCTTTGTGACAGCAGGTTCATTCATAGGCTCTAAGACTGGACATGCCGTTTTTGTGTAGGAGTATCAATGAAATATTCTTTATGAACCGACATTAAACACTTGTCCTCACTGGTATTGTACTGCAGCTCTGGAGAACAAATTTTTTGTTTCTGATTGATTGTTGCAGACCTACATATGTGGACTTGTTGTCTTTTGAGGTTTATATGGGCGTTTTACGGAAGAGTTTGGGTCAAGTGCTGTACAAAGAGTACAACCCTTTCCGGGACCTTAAATTGCAGGCTTTGTGTTATTCATTTCTCTCATTTCTCTACGTTTGGTGAGGTCCGAAAGCGTCTCGTCTCTTGGCTGACCCAGAACTGCTGGCAGGAAGGAATCTGAGCTCAACGCTTTGCACTCAAGCCCGGAATGATCCTGAAGGACGGCCATCTTCAGCGATACGCCCCATTGCACCCTGCAGATATTCCTTCCAGCATGTTCCCCCAAGTCTGGAACATCTGACCTTGGTGCCTGTCCCTCAAGCTCCTTTGGGGGAGGCCTGTATGTCAGGCAGTGGCCTCTAACAGGATACAAACCGAGTGGCTGCATTGTCAGAGAAGAGCTTCTGGTGGCTGTTGGTTGTTTTCCATTCGTTAGCTGGGTTTAGCCACGCAATCGGAATAATTCTGGGTGATCTGTAGCTCAGCTGCCAGAGCTCCAGAAATGCACTTACCGGTGTAGCCTGTGAGGCTTCTGGAAGCTGGGGAATTTTCAGGGTACCGGTAATTAGTTTTTAGCGCACGTCAATTAGCGCATCATTAGCTGGGTTTCAAGCTTTCTCTGAAGATTCTAATAACGGAGCCTGGGCTGAGTGTGATATGGCCTATGGACATTTAAGTGCAAATGGGTGTTTTCACCAGGAAGTCAGTCATTTTTGCACCTGTATCTCCTTCATACAGTATTTTATTGCAGGATTGGTCTATGATTTATCTGGGGCTGAATGTTTTAGATGACCCTGTCCGTGGTTTATATGAGACCTGATGTTTTGGTGAGCCTGGATAGTGGTTTGTAAATGGCCGGATGCTTGGACCAAATATTCCCCATAATGTAATAAAAACCTGTTATATTGATGTTTTTGGGACCATTTTTCAGGTCCCCAGAAAGATCTGTGAATTCAATGAAAAAACAAAAAATGCCTAAAGTCTCATATTTTGTTTGGTTACTTATGGTTAAGGTTAGGGCTGGGTAGGGGTTAAGGTTGTCATGTTGGGATTAGAGTGTCCTTATTTAGATGTGTGTGTGTGTGTGTGTGTGTGTGTGTGTGAGAGAGAGAGAGAGAGAGAGAGAGAGATGGATATTGTTTGTGTACCAGGTGTTGTCCTTAAACAGCAGGAATGTTGCTAGATGTTTTTAATTTGCAATCAGCCACTCTCTGCTTTTGGAAAGAGCGCACGTCCAAAAGAGAGGGTTTAGAGACAGGAAGGGCTGTTTGGGTAAATTTGGACCCTTAAGGCAAAAATTCCTAAATGAACCTCGGAGTCATTCATGTTTTCCTTTTTATCGCTTTTGCCTCATGGACGATACTTTTGTCCGAATCAAATCCCACATCGCGCACTTAAGCCGGTTGATGTAAGTGGCCCTTTCTTACGGTAAGGATTAATGGCCATACGGCTTCCTGTCAGGTGGCAGTGTGATCAGACGCACTCTAACAAACACATCAGCCGCATTCATAAATAAATAAAACTCTATCCGTTTTAGACAGATGGGTTAAAAAAAAAGATTAAAGATTAAAAGTGCTTCCTATCTCACCATGGTACCGTACGGGTCAGTTGACTGCAGCCCGGCTCGGATTTGAAAACAAGCATGAATAACTGTTCTCATAATGCTGCGTAAAATTCCCATCTGTTGCCGCGAATATGTCCAAATGTCACGGCCCCTGGAGCATGGAGTAGGGATGCTATTAGCACCCTCCGTGTACAGGCCGGGCTGGCAGAGCCCACAGCCAAGACTGCTGCTTCTGCAGGGAACGTTCCAATCGCCTCTTGTTTAAGAAGAAGACTGCTTTGTCCCCATTAAGAGGCTGGTGGAAGGAGTTGACCATTGGGCTTGGTCTGTGCCTGGGGCATCCATGTCCCTATCCCACCGGCTGGTCATTGTTAGAAGGAACCCTTCTCTCATTGACCAACAGACTCAATAAATGTTATTTATTGTATTGTAAACTAATACAAGTGATAAGTCAATTTAAGGGCTATATGGTATTTATTGACTTTATAAGTCTGTGGATATTTGTTATTGGTCTGTTGTTCCACAAGACGTTGGCAATTTCTTTTTAGAAATCTTTGGAGCTTTGTCACTGATTCGTTGTTTAATGTCCACTCCCCCCCCGCACCCCCCCATCCTCTCCAGCCAGTTCTAAGTCAGGCCGGACTCCCGCAGGGCCCCTCCGAGCAGAAGATCGCCGTGGTGACAGTGGACGACTGCGACACGTCTGTCGCTCTGAAGTTTGGTCACATGATCGGAAACTACTCCTGTGCTGCCCAGGGCAGCCAGTCGGGGTCCAAAAAGTAAGATGGGCCTCCTTCTTTCACATTTTCCCCGTCTGTCGCTGCGCAGAGTCTCTTTGCGACCTTCACACACATCCCTGAGTGACACCCCATGTTGATAAGATCTCAGGGCTCACTCAGATGTTACAAAGCGTCACTTGATTCAATTTGTGAGCTATATGTTATAGAATATATATTGTTTGGCATTTTTAGTTTTTTGATTGCACTCACAGATATTTATAAAATTGGGGTTATCCTTGTGGGGACCGCAAAAAATCTGGTCCCCACAATGTAATAATTACAAAAACTTGAGTTTAGTTACTTGAAACTGTGAAGAAGTAAATGGGAATATTTTAAAGATATGAAAATAATCATAAAAAATGGATGCCACAATTGAGCATGATGTTTATCGCCATGGAAACATCTCTGGCTGTTTTTATCAGTGATGCACGTCTTCAGTCCTCTGTGCAACTTTTAACAGTGATGCACGTCTTCAGT